CCCCCCTTCCCCGGCCACATGGCCGAGTGCCTGACCACCTCCGCGCCGGAGCAGGGCGAGGAGCGCAGGTGGGGGGCCCGGCCACCGGGGTCCCCGCTGGTTTGGGGTGGGGGGCGGCAGGGGGTCCCCTGGGGGTCCCCCCCCCCCCCCCCAGCCTGAGCGGCCTCGTCCCCGCAGCAGCGTGGTGAACTACGAGGGAGGAGGCGTCTGCACCCACGCCAGGTCCCTCTGGCGCCTGGAGCCCCTGCGCATCAGGTACGGGGGGCCCGGGGGTCCCTGGGCCGCGGCCGCCTGCGCGTTGGCCCGGGCTCCCTGGGCTGCGTCCCCGGTGGCCCCACGTCCCCGGGACCCATCCCTGCACTGTCCCCTGTGTCCCCACGTCCCCAGGACCCATCCCTGCATCCCTGGGACCCACCCCTGCATCCCTTTAACCCATCCCTGCATCCCAATGCTGCGGTCCTGTGTCCCTGTGACCCATCCCTGCATCCCGATGCTGCATCCCCTGTGTCCCCATGTCCCTAGGACCCATCCCTGCATCCCTGGGACCTATCCCTGCATCCCGATGCTGTGTCCCCACGTCCCTGGGACCCATCCCTGCATCCCTGGGACCCATCCCTGCATCCCTGCACTGTCCCCTGCGTCCCCACGTCCTCGGGACCCATCCCTGCATCACTGGGACCCATCCCTGCATCCCGATGCTGTGTCCCCGTGTCCCTGTGACCCATCCCTGCATCCCCACCCTGTGTCCCCCATGTCCCCACACCCCTGTGACCCATCCCTGCATCCCTGGGACCCATCCCTGCATCCCGATGCTGTCCCCCCCGTGTCCCCACGTCCCCGGCACCCGTCCCCGCATCCCCGCGCCGTGCCCCCCGGCCCCTGGTGACGCATCGTGTCCCCCCCAGCTGGAGCGGGAGCCACCTGAAGTGGGGCCAGCCCTTCCGCCTGCGGCACGTCACCACGGGCCGCTACCTGGCGCTGACGGAGGACAAGGGCCTGGCCGTGGTGGAGGTGCCCCCCGCCACCCCCCGCGCCTCCGCCTTCTGCTTCCGCGCCTCCAAGGTGGGCGACGGGGACGGGGGGCTCCGGCCGGCGGGGGCACCCGGTCTCGGGGGGCGCGGGGTGGTCCGGGTGGCCCCAAGGGGTGGGGTGGCTCAGGTGCCCTGGGTGTTGGGGTGGCAGGAGGTCCCTGTCCTGTCCCCTTTTGGGTCCGCATCCTGGTCCCATCCCTGTGCCGGTCCCCATCCTGGTCCCCCTGCCTGTCCCAGTCCCTGTCCCGGTCCCATCCTGGTCCTCGTCCCCATTTGGGTCCCCATCCTGGTCCTGACCCCTTCCTGGTCCCCATCCGGGTGCCAATCCCTGTCCCTATCCCGGTCCCCGTGTGGATCCCAGTCCCTGTGCAGGTCCCTGTCCCCATCCCTGTCCCTGTGCACGGCCCTGTCCCCATCCCAGTCATCATCCCGGTCCCCGTGTGGATCCCTGTCCCCATCCAGTCCCTGTGCAGGTCCCTGTCCCCATCCCGGTCCCCATGTGGATCCCAGTCCCCATCCCAGTCCCTGTGCAGGTCCCTGTCCCCATCCCTGTCCCCATCTCGGTCCCCGTGTGGATCCTGGTTCCCGTCCCTGTCCCCCTGCGGGTCCCCTGACACCCCGATCCCCCCCGCAGGAGAAGCTGGAGGTGGTGGCCAAGCGGGACGTGGAGGGGATGGGGACCCCCGAGATCAAGTACGGGGAGTCCCTCTGCTTCGTGCAGCACGTGGCCAGCGGGCTCTGGCTCACCTACGCCGCCGCCGACACCAAGGCCATGCGCCTCGGGGTGCTCAAGAGGAAGGTGAGGGGCTCGGGGGCCGGGGTCTTTGGGGGTCTCCGAGAGGCACTAGGGTGTCTCCGGGGG